CACCTTCTGTACTGCTATGTCCCAACACGATGCAAAGCAGCTTTCTCAACTCTACTCCCACAGAGGTCCATTATCTTGTGACTAGTGTTATATCCTCATAATACTGTGGCTTATCTGAAAAAGAAGGCAAGCAATAACAGTTGCTTAAGCAGCTGATAACGTGAAAGTTAGAGGAAATGGTCTTGCACTAATTTAGAAGGTCTTATTTTGGCCTCTATTAAAGAAGCCCTCTGTAAAGCTGGAACATCTTTCTATTTGTCACCGACTGAGAAAAACGGTAGCTGTTCAGCACTGTAAATAGAGCTCTGTTGAACCAAGTATTCCTTTAACCTTAACTAGAAATGGCTTTATGAATTTCTGCACAGGTAAAACTTTAACCATTAGAGATAAAATATTAACAGCCGTCCCAAAGATGTGCCTTTAGGTACAGCAACCCTAATAACTACTGATTCTACTTGGATTCTTTCACTCTGATCAGTCTGCATTATTTTCAATAATGTCTTCCTTTAAATCATTAATATGCATTTTAGACCCCATTCCTAAAAGACTGGTCAGGTTTCACCATTAATTAATGCTTCAAATGCATCTATCTTAATAACAGACTACATAGCAGGTTTTTAAGGTGGCAGTAATTATACAAATACTTAAAAAGGCATCACTTGATTAAGCCGCCTTACCTAATTATAGACAGATTTCTAACCCTTCATTTATTTCAAAAAAATGTTGAACGAGTAGATGTAAAACAGTTAACTGATCATTTATAGAGGATTTGATTATTCAGTCAGGATTTCGAGTCTTCTTTACACACAAAGGTTTATTATGGAGTTCCACAGGGTTCTGTGCTAGGACCAATTCATTTTACATTATGCATGCTTTCTTAGGCAATATTTTTAGAAAACACTGTATACATTTTGAATGCTAAACAGATAGCACCCAGCTTTATTTATCCATGAAGCCAGATGAGACAAATTAACTAGTTAAACTACAGGCATGTCCTAAAGACATCAAGGCATGGATGACCTCTGATTTCTAAATTCAGTCCTAGCTGGGACTAGAAAATGAGAGCATATTTCTCCCCTATTAGCTCATCTTTAATGACTCACTGTTAAAGTCAGAAATGAATTAAAACCCTTCTCTTTATAGGCAAAATCTTGAATAATCAATCATATCTTAAAGACCTCGTTATCCTACCTTATTACGCTAACAGTTCAATATCCTAACAGAGAACTTCACTCACAGACTGCATGCTTACTTGTGGTTCCCAAAGTTATCAGAAGCTATAAGCTTTTTGTTAAAGCTTATAGCTATACCTGGATCAGGTGACCCTGAACCATCCCTTAGTTACGGCCTAGGCTGCTGGAGGGCTTCCCATAATGCACTGAGCATTGTTTTATTCACTCACTTCTTCTCGTTGTCTATGTGTTTATACAGCACTCTGCATTTAATGATGAGTAATTATTAAACTCTGGCTTTCTCTCCTGTAGTTTGCCTTTTTTCCTCTCTCTATAAAGTCCTTCAAGTACAGCCTTGCAGAACTATTTCTATGGTGGACCATTACTCTGAAATGCTAACTTTGAAATCTTTAAACATTATCTCAGTGGCCTTACAGCCATAACTAAGTTTAATGTGATTAACCCTCAGAAAGCCCTGAAACACATGGTCAGAAATGTTAATAGATGCCGTGCTACCATGAAGACCCATGTACCAATGAACCACTCGCTAATCAGGAATCTAATTTGTCCAACAAAATCAAATTAACGTTATCATAGATTAAAGGGCCATTAGACTAGAATGACCTTGTTGTTGATTGTGAACCTGTGATAAGGCCTCTTTCAGAATAGAATAAAATGTCCAAATAAAAATTTTCCAGCAGAAACAGTCGGTCGGTCTGTACGACCGTAGATAACACAAGTTAGCACAGCGAGGCTATTCTGAGAGGAGCTTTCCTAGGCCAGGTTGTGACAGTTGTGTCCCACTCCATAAGCTGGAGGCCATTTAGTAACAAAGATGACCAGCGCGAGGTGCCAGAGCCGGTCTGTCGAACAAATGTTCCACGAGCCCCGGGCCACGCTAGGCTCAGCTAAGAACAGACAGAGATGGTCCTGGGGACGGGGCCTCCCCGCTCCTCAGCTTCAACGTGCAAGCTGGAGTGCAGACTGCACCTTCCGTCGGGACCACTGTGAATAGAGGTGTAATTGGCCATATCCAGTGATAGATGGGTGTTCAACCTTTGTTGCTCATCAGTGGCAGGATACACAGAGGCTTGTCTCACAATATGAGGTTGATTGTGCAGTCTATTAAACACCAATCTCAGGAGGAAGTGTTTCTCCTCGGAATGCTGGAGCTTAGAAGAATCTCCAGAAAGATCTGAATCAAAAACCGGCTCGTGCTCAGTGATTGCCTATTATATCCCAGAGACAGTAAACATGATTTAAAAATTGATCACGCTTAATTAATTGCTTTCCTCAGCAGAGACGACTAAAGAACTAGACTCAGTAAATTGTTAGAAAATCACAACCTTTTGTTTCTTGGAAGCATAAATCAAAGCTGTAAATTATAGTTTTTATTTCATTCCAAACCAATTATCATGTTATGCAAATTTCTGGTTGTATGATACATGCAATAATTATGTAATTATGGAAAGCATTTCATTCTAATACAAAGAGTCTGCATGACAAGATACAGACACCTGCATGTCGCCCAGAGGGTCTTTTTGAAGAGAAGGTAAATATTCATATTCCTGTTGAAACTAGAAGGGCTGAATACATTGTGAGCGTCGTGTTAAAGAAGAGCCAACCACACAGTAGGTTTGTGATGTTGATTTCTATAAACCAACAGGGTGAAAATTGAGACACAAACAGGTGATGCACATTTCAAGAACAGAGTTTTGAAATTCAGGCAGACAGAAAAAATGCCAGCAGTGAATTAGTGGAGGAAAATAAAGACATGCATGAAGAAATGAAATTGACTTTGCTCAAGGAAGTTTCCCTTTACACGTGAGAGCAGCAGAACAAAAATGAACAAATTAATAAATAAGTGGTGGCTTTTGTCGAGGGCTTTTAACATCCCCTAACAGTTGAGAGAAGCAGGAAAAATGAGCGATGCTCGTTAACTCTGACCCAAATCCTAAGAGACAGTGGGAGCTGTTAAAACACGGAGCAGATTGGGGAGTCTGCGTGACCTAGATAGCATTGGTTTTGAAAAGCAGCCGTACTTCACATTAAATCGCTCCTACGTCTAATATAATGAGGCATATCTCCCTGGTCGGTAATGAAAATTACATTCTGATAAGGTTCTTTGTGACATAGAAAATACCTCTCCCACCACTGACACTCCGAGGCTCTGTCTGAGTCGCAGCTGGTGCGCCTTCGTCTGGACTTGGGTGGCATTATCTGGCTCGTAAGTGCACATGAATTGTGACACATGGGCTAGACATCCAGAAGGGAAGCGGTAGTGATGAGACAGCCAGTGGCCAACTGTTGTTCAAAGACATTATATGTGTCTACAACAGACTTTGGAGACTAGTGGATTAATGTTACACTCACACTGGGAAAAACAGTGATTGGAAGCCATGATATGACCAAAAGTATTACAGCTGTGTGCAGTAAACTTGTGTGAAGTTACATATCAAGGGAGTATATGTGACCAGTCGCAGTCACCTACCACCTTCAATGCATCTTTGGCGTGATGGTAGTAACACAGGAATAAGACAGAGTCAGTCTGCTCTCAGTTTGTGGTCAAATCAGGTCAAGTTGGTGATTATATGCAATCTATTTGTGATAATATGGTAACTGACTGTAAGAAAGTCCAGCCAAATAGTGATAGATAGTGATGTGGTTGCTGCAGGGCAGCAGTTTAACTACAAAATGACATAGGTTTTTACTTTTACACAGGAATAGAATCATAGTACAACCTCTTAGCAACCAATAGAGCCGAGTCCCATGCTGCAAAGAGATGTGTTGAAAGTGAGTTGTGTTTGTCAATGTAGACTGACTCAATTCATTTCAGTTCAATTTTATGTATGTAGCCCCAAATAACAACAACAGCCACCTCAATGTGCTTTATATTGTACGAAGAACCCCAACAATCAGACAACCCCCAATGAGAAAGCACTTGGCGACAGTGGGGAGGAGAAACTCCCTTTTAACAGGAAAAAAAAACAGGCAGTATTGCATATATTAGTAGGCAAAATTTGTCCACTGGATACATTGTCTATCCAGGTGTGATGATTAATAAATAGTATGAAATGTTTTGAAATTAATCATAAAATGACTAACTGATCACACTCCTACTACACAGACAATGTCACACAATGTCACGCGGGACAATGTGTGGCCGGTGCTCGATGGGCTGCATCTCTTTTCAGGACAGCATAGGCTCAAGGCCTCTTTCTCCAACAATGGCACGTCACCATGCCAACAGAAGCTGTGCCAGCCACAGCGTCAGCTTGGCACAGCCATCGTGTTAGCAGTGGATGATTCAAGGGCATTAAAGCACAGTGTGTGTGTGTGTGTG